ATGTTGATGATCCTCTGCTGCTCCTCTAATTAGCAATATTTGACGAGGTATAACTGAGCTTTTAAGATGGAAAATTTATGCTGTGTTACGTATTTTAACTTCAGTATCTTGAATCGTAGGCTATCACAAAGTTTTTAGATCAACTGAGCCGAAAGCTCAAGTGAGCTTTACTGATCAAAGAGTGTCCGACATCCGTCTGTCGTCTGTAAACTTTTCACATTTTTGACTTCTCAAGAACCACTGGAACAATTTCAACCAAACTTGCCACAAAGCACCCTTGGTGAAGGGAATTTAAGTTTATTCATAGGAAGTGCCACGCCCTCTTTAAAGGGAAGATAATTAAGAAATCGTGAAAATTTGGTGACATCTTTTAAAAATCTTCTTCTCAAGAACCACTGGGCAAGAAAAGATGAAACTTATGTAAAAGCTTCATTACATACTTTAGATTCAAATTTGTTCATATCATAACCCCCTGAGGTAGGAAGGAACCACAAGAGGGGGTCTAATTTTTACATAGGATTATGTAGGAAATGTTTTAAAAATCTTCATCTCAAGAGCAGCTAAGCCATTTTACAGAAGTATCCTAAGGAAGTGAAGTTTCAAGTTTGTTCAAATCATGACCCCTGGGGGGTGGGCACAAACAGAAGAGGGGACCAAAGTTTTACATAGGAATATATGGGAAATATCTTTAAAAAAATTATCTTCTCAAGAACAGCTAAACCATTATTAGTCATTTTAATACAGGAGTATCCTCAGGTATTTTTAGATTCAAGATTGTTCCTCGGGGGTAGGGTGGGGCCACAGTGAGTCAAAGTTTTACATAGGAATATATAGGTGTAATGGTTAAGGGGCATTTGCGTAAAACGCATTGAAGACTTCAAATAGTGGAATACCTGACAAACATTGGAATGCACTAGCCAAAGGGTATATAAGGCAGAGCTTTGGGATTCAGTCATTCAGAAGCTAGCTAAAGAAGTTGGCCGTTGAATCTGCAATAAAGAAGTTAAGGGCAAGAGCAAAATAAAAGTACAAACGATATAAGCACCAGTGGCAAGTATCCTAGAGAATTGATGTTAAGTTCTGAGAGTAGTAAATCTGAAGAAGATTGAAACACTCAGTTCTTATCTATCAATAGGAACCTATGGGGAAAACACGGTGCAAGTAGTGCCTTACCCAGTCTCCGTCTCTGGATAAGAGAAAAAATTTTAGTCCATCGGACAGAGCAGTCTTAACAATCATTCCAATCAGCAACTCACACGGAGTAAAAGGAAAACCTGATCATACACGTGTTATAGGAAACATCTTTGAAAATCTTCTTCTCAAGATCAACTAAGCCATTATTAATCATATTTATACAGAAGCAACTTTAAGTATTGTTGAATTACGTTTGTTCAAATTATGACCCCAGAGGGGTGGGGGGAACAGAGGGTCAAAGTTTTGCTTAAGAATATATAGGATGATCTTGGAAAAAATCTTCCGCCAAAAACAGCTGAGTCATGATTAGTCATATTATTATAGAAGCATCCACAGGTAGTGTAGATTCAAAGTTGTTCAAATTTAGGGTGGATACGGTGGGGCCACAATGAGTGATCAGAGTTTTACATAGGAATACATAGGAAAAAAAACAAAATTTCTCTGCTCAAGAACAGCAAAGCCTTGATTAGTAATATTGATATGGAAGCATCCTGAGGTAGTGTAAATTTAAGTTTGCCCTCCCCCCCCCCCCCCCGGAAACTTTTCAATACTGAACTGATTTCTGCTTTTTCCTAGCTTCCTAGCCAATGTGCTCAGGTGAGTGATGTGTCCCATGGGCCTCTTGTTTTGGAAGACATCAGCTAATTATTCAATAAACTGTATATTTTTTGTCATATATATATATATATATATATATATATATATATATATATATATATATATATATATATATATATATATATATATATATATATATATATAACCTACACAAAATAAGTGTACTGTTGACACATTTTTACAGTGTCTGAGGTATGCATTTTATTGATTGCACAATAAAAAAAACTGTACTAGTGAACAAAACTACGGTTCAAAATCCGAATTTGGAATGAAAAGTAGTAGGTGGGTAAACTAGGGTCAGTCAGGGTTACCGGAAACACACATTATTTTAAAGCCTTACTTATGTTTGTTTTCCATTCTGAAACAATGTGAACCTCATCTACATCACAGACTCTTTCTTTTTACAATTTACTTCAGAGAATTTTCCAAAAGTTGTTCTTTTCGACTAAAGTCTCAAAATGGGCATAAATCAAACAAAATTTACCATTCTTTAGATCTTCTAAAGGGGCACTAGAAATTAAGAGGTTGGCCTTTTTAGAGTGAAATATATGGAGATAACGAACAGTATTCAAGCTCAAAAGTCCATAATCAATACAAAATAGGAGCAGAGCAAACACGGACCTCCAAACATCAGAGGTGGGATCAGGTGCCATGGAGGAGTGAGCATCCCCTGCCGACCGGTCACACCCGCCGTGTGCTCCTTGTCATGATCGGGAAATAACGGAAAACTCAGTCTGATTCATCTTCATCTTGAAAACTGTAATTAGATTGCTTTTAATAAAATTCTAGTAAATATAAAGGGCTTAAATGTTTCCCAGATTCCTTTAACGTGATTAATATATATACTTTAGTCAAATATAAGGGAAAAAAAGTGTTTGAATTTCTCGATAACATTTGAAGACAGCCAGCTATACGTAGCGTACAATTAATGTCTCTTTATTCTACAGTAGAAGATAATGCCATGAATATTTTTGCCACTTAACCATATAGGCTAAAGATGTTTGAAATTTAAGTACATGGCTTTTCTTTTTCCTTCCTAATTTACTTCTGATAAATCACACAATGAAGGACAATCACAGTCTTTCAATAGAAAAATCTAAGAAAAAAGCGCAAAGATGATTTACTCGTGACATTGTGTCATCTTTTCCGTAGATTCCAACACTAAGTAAACAGATCAATATTTTGCGAGAGAGAGAGAGTGTGTGTGTGTGTGTGTGAATAACATGTTAAGCATATTTCATATGTTGTACATTTTGTGTTTGTCATATTTATATGTATATAATATATTTCAGGGCTCTAGACCTGAGACTACAATTGAACCCTTGGTTAGCGCCTGTCTTATTTAACATTCAAGTACATTCTGCTGTTCTTTCCGTTAATTATGATAGTCAGGAGCTTGTAGAATTACTATTTCCTTTTTGCGTCGTATCTTAACGAGGTTGGATCATGATATTTTAAGAATTCTTTTGTCAAATACTTATTTAGAATCTACACACATTGCTTAATTAAAAATCAAAGCAAAAAATAAGGGTCAATGTGCTTCTCTTGGCTCTACGGTACATTTAATATGAAGTCTTCCTCCAATATTTTTATCCAAATAAATCATGGGACAAAATATACTATTATTCAATAATAAAAAAGACACATAAAAATTGTGTCAAAGAAAAATTTCAAATTGCTTCACATAATCAATTATTTGACCTTTCTGCACTAACAAAATGTAATTTTTCTGCATTAAAATTTTAACAATCAAAATATTATTTTAAAGTCAAACTTTTGCTGAATTTATGCATTATGAACAAAGTTATCTTATATATTCAGAAAAGAAAATCAAAAGTTTGGGTCGATGATGAAAATTTTTAGATATTACTAAAAAAAAACTGGAAATTTTAAGCTAAAATTGGTTCAATTTTTTCCTGGACTTTCAGAATATATTTACTTATTTTCACATAATATGATAACAGAATTTATTTAAAAAAAAAAATAATTTAATAGATATTTCAGAACCGGCATAAAACAAGATTATTTACACCAACTAAAAGGTCACGTATTTAAAATATTGTACAACTTCATATAATAAACTAATCTATTGAATTCTAAATCCTATCACGTACAAATGTTACAAAAAGTACATGTATAGTGCAAATATGGTCTTGGGTAACAACGCTAGTATCTAAATCTATAAACCAGGTTGTTTACACAAACTTAAAGATAAATAGAAAAAATAACACCTACTGGATTGTAGTCACTCATACACTCTTACAAATGCCAAAACAAAAGGCCCCAGTGAATAATGTAAATAACGGAAAAGTAATTCAATACGCAATTCAAATAAAAACATTGAATAAAGATAGTAAAGAGATATCTCTTTTTGTTTGAGAGATATCTCTTCCGGGCACTTTTGAGAGATATCTCATTTATTTTAAAAGATATCTTAAGCTACGATTTATAAACAGAGATATATTTTTTAATTGGAGAGATATCTCTCAAAGTAAAAGAGATATCTATCAAAGTGAAAGAAATATTTCTCTGAACTAAAGAGATAATACTCAAAGAGAAAGAGATATCTTTCTGAGTGAAAGAGATTTCTTTCTAAATGAAATGGATATCTATGTGAAAGAGATATCTCTCTGCGTGAAAGAGATATCTCTCTAAGGAAAAGCGATATCGCTTTCTTTGACAGATAACTCTGTAGTACGTATGGGTAGAATCGGGGTGAGTTTTTTACAAAATAATTTTGTAGATAACCAATCACAAAATAAAAAAAAATCCGATTTCAATTTTATTGAAGAAGCAGTTTTTTTTATGATATCAAAAAAGTTTGGTTTTCAATTTATTTTGAGGAATCCTTGTATAAAGCGAGGAAAAGTCATATGTTTTTATGCAATAGATGTTTTAAAAGTAAGACAAGGAGTAATGATAAAACATTGAGTAATGAGAAAACACTGACTCCTGGAAACACCAGAGGATTATTAAAAATTGAAGAGGTTGTTTACCACTGTCAACCGGTCACACTCGACGCGTGCGATTCGTGTTGATTGGTTTAGAAAATTGAATTCAGAAGCGTATACAAATCAATATGAAAATAATGGCTAAACAATTTGTATTAAAATCATAATTCTATATTCCACATAATGAGAGGGTGCTGTTAGAGTCTTTTTTTTTAAACAAAGGGGGGTTGAAAGTATTTATATTGACATTATTGAGGTAGTGAAATAAACTAAAGAAAACAACATGGGAGTGAACAATGCACTGTGGATACCATCTATTCCAGCTCTTGTAAATTTATCACCTGGAACACATCTGTTGAGAGACTTGTGACATTTCAGGTATTTAGAATGACCACAGTCTGGACATGCAGGCGAATCTTCGTAGCGAACATTTGATGCAAGACGTGCTTTTAGACCGTCTGCATTTGTCATCCAATAGAAACAGTCCATTGTGCGGTTAGGATGGTGACGTTTAATGTCATCCCCAACAATTTCATATTCTTCTTCAATGTTCATAGCCGTTTGTTTCTGAATAAATTTGGTCCATATATAGTCGATGTAAGCATGGTGGAGAAAAAAGACAGGATCACGAGGAGAATAGTCCAAAATGGACATCATACCACCCACCCAATCGTGAACAATATTATGTTGTCCTTCCAATGTGTGGGTATTGTTATCCTTGTTATAAATTATTTGTTTCATGTTATGTACAGACAAGTCATTCTTTATCGTATCGATAGTGTTGTGTGTCATTAAAGTTTCGGAGTTATTGAAATTCAGACTTCTCTGAAGTGTGCAGTTATTGACATCTTTCCAAAATTTGAATGGACCTGTTCGCACAATACCTTTACCATTACCCAAAAATTCTTCTGTAAAAACAACAGACTCTGAAGGAGTCGGGTCGTTGTCCATGTAGTTGTCTAATAGGGAATCCCAATATGGTATAGTCACTTTTTTGTTTTTCTGACGAAGAGCTGTTTCAAATCTGTTGAAAATAGCTGCATTATTAGTGATTTAATTTGATATAATTAGATCCAGGCAAAAGTCAAAAGCTGTATGCAAAAGCTTCAGTTCTGTATATGTTACTATTTTTACTCGAATGAGTTTACCCCTTTTTTGCACTAGTTAATATAAATCTTGAACAAAACATAAAACTATGTTCAAATGATGAACAAAATCTGTAGTCTTAGAAGTAAATTAGCGAAAAGTAAGTGTAAAAGATATAGAAACTCACACGAGAAGAAAAACTCTGTGCCATCCTAAAAAGTTGCTCCCTCTGTGAATGGAGCAAAGAGTCTGGTTGGTGTGAATCATTGCAATTGCGTCATATTTGTTGGGCCATATGCTCTAGAAAACGAAAGTATTAGAAATAGAATTTATTCTTAGTGTTAAAATCGTCAAAAAGTATCACTCACCTCACAACTGATTAATTTTTATAATTTAAAATAAAAATTATTTTTGATTCATTTAAATAGTACAAATTCCTTTAATATAGCATCATCATTTATGCTTCAAAGTGTCTAAATTTTTAATTTTTTTTTTTTTCATTACGTCTTCATAAGTACACTCAGACAAAAAAAAAAGTGTTTTCAATTGAAAAAAAAAAACTTCAAAAACTTCTTTTAAATCTGAATTTGGTCTTAGATCTACCTCAAAATGATTTTTGAGAATAATAAAAATGTTAAAAGATGAGTACATATTTTGACAAATCAGCCTCTCCACCAGACGGACCCGGATTCACATAAGAAACAATTTGTTAAAAAAAAAAGAAGCAGAAAACCTCTTTCTTAAACGCTTGAGGAGATATTCACTTGAATTGGCAAGCTAAAGGCTTTAAAGGATATTTCAAACATGAATATATACATATCATTACCGTGTCTTTTTTCAGGGCCAGTACAGCATCAATGTATTCCTGTCTCTCTGTCTCACTCAGTGTCCTGATCTCCTTCCGTGTATGCTGTGTGTCCGACATTGACTCTCTGTAAAGCTCATAAAACCAGTCCTGGGTAGATTTGTTAAGTGTGCAGAAATAATCGTAAGTTAAATTCTGGCAGGTGTCTCTGTCAAATAAAGTTTCATTGCAGCTAAAGGGATATGTATTCCTTAGCAATCCAATGGCAGAAATTTGTTTTAGAATTGCTAGAATGGCGAGAGAATGTGATATAATTGTCCGAAATAAAACGAGGCTCAGTAGACCCATCATGGCAAACTTTGAAGGAATAGTTCAGAACCGCTACTTTATATGCTCGAAACCTGACTTTTCTTTTATACTGTGTGCTCATCCATGATTTCTACTAAATATGTAAAGACATCGAGTGGTTCTGAGGAAACGTTGTAACTTATTTTGATCCCACCTCTGGGGGCCGTTTCTCAAAAAGGCCTACGACCAGGCTTAAGCTTAGTCCGGACTAAATCAGTGACTAAACCCAGAAATCGGACTAAATTGCGTTTCACAAAAAGGCGGAGACTTAGTCGAGACTAAACTTTAGCTTTAATCTACGCCTCTTCATGAGTAGGCGTAAGTTCTTAATCTGTACACAACTTGAAAAAAGTGGCAAGTCTTTTGATCATAAAGAGTTAAAAGAATAATTATTTTTTACGCGTATGATATAAACACCTATTCATATTCGTATATGATATGTAAAAAAACAAATCGTGAAATATACAATTATTATGTAGGTAAAGAGAAAGGTAGTAAAAACCAGCGAGGATGCAGACTTTTTTCCGTAAAAGGTGGGATGAACTAGAAATTTGTAACTATGAATTTTAAATTGTGAAACTAGGTAAGAAATTAAGAACTGCCAGAGTTAAAAAAAAAAAAAAAAAAAAAAAAAAAAAAAAAAAAAAAAGGCACGCGTAGTATGGGGGAGGGACTGCAACCATACCGCTTTTTGCAGTAATAGTGTTTTCTGTTTAAAATTAAGTTGTAATTTAGGTTGTCCTGCACTTTCAGTATTTGTTTTCTTGTACTGTCAAAGTTTGCTTAATATTTTGGTTACTCCATTACCTACCCCCACCCCCCTTTTCCCCTCCCCCGCACACTTTTTAAAAACGCTGCTGGTTCCTAAATATTTTTTTTTGTTTTGAAACCGATAATGTTTTAAAAAAACTCCTAAAACAATATACATTTGATATATTTTCGATAATGAAAAATATTCGATATTAATGCCATCAACTAATTAAGGCAATGCACTTTTTACCTTAATTTCCCCTTTAATTAAATATAAATATCATAAAAAGAAGAAAAGTAAAATGTTCCAGTAATTAAAATATCGTTTGTATAATACTGTTTTTTCCTATTTCAAAGGAGTAACTGTCATATGGCGTAAGATGTGTCTTTCATTTTTTTAAATAGGTACTTGTTCTTAATTCATTTACAATCTATGGTACTTTTCTCAGACGAATTTTGTTTGAATGTGCTTTTTTGATCGATTTGTGAACAGATAAACACTTTATTTTACATCTGAAAGGAAAGTGGTCAATAAAGTGTTAAAAATGTTTTTGTTGTAAATGAGAAACAGTTTCGAATTTTTTGTCATTAATGCATTATACTCATAAAACATATCAAGAAGAATAAATTTTGCTTATTTAAAAATATTTATGAATATGAAAATCATGACTTGTTAAAATCTTTAAATCTAGATACAATCTTCAAGAAACACTCTGCATCCATAAAAGAAATTAATATTACATGATCATATTCTTAATTAAGGAATGAGTTTAATAGCTACCCATTTTTTACGGTATAAACTGGGTTGGGGCAGTTTACGCTTTAAAAACCGCGATGCGGTTTATAAAAAAGCGTAAACTGTTCCAACTCACTTTATACCGTATAAACTGGGTAGCTATTAATTTCATTCCTTATGATTTAATTTTCATTCATTTGGTGTAAAAAAAAAAAGATGATTGTCCTTAAAAATGACTTCAATTTGTACAAAATTTGAATTTAACGTCAGGCGGATCGATACGTTTTTGATGAACGTCATTGTGACGTAGGCAACCCATTTTATACGATATATAGTAATATTTTTATCCAATCAAATACAGCGTTACAACCAGAATTCAATTATTAAAAATTAAACGGAATTGCAAGATTTAAGGAAAAGATGGTAATGTTGAAAGTTGTAATTTGTCCGATCTAAATAAATCTGATCTCAAATGGAAATATTTTAGAATTTGATAAAAAATACTAGATTGCTTGCCTGTCATATAGTTTACAAGAAATTGTATTAAAACTAATTAAGCTTTTGCAAACCTTTAATAAGAATGCGTGTGCTACTGGATATGCTGTATATGCGTATTTCTGCGTGGAATGTAAATTATCATATCGATATCAATGTAATACTGTATGTTCAAAAGTGTAATATTATGATACATGTATTACTTGAATGCCAATAAGTCTAATTCAGTAAGAAATGATTATTCTGTTACATGTGTCATTATAAATTCAATACAACTGATAATTTTTCAAAAATCTTATCCATATTATAATAATACTAGTGTATGATTTCATAATTGTTAAATTTTCCAGAGGCCCGTAGAACGCGGTGAGGCCAGGGGGCCCCAGCCCTCCACTTTTTTTGCTATAGTAAATTTTCCTTCAGATGTTGCCCCCCCACACACACACACACACATACTTTTTGTCCCTGTAAGGTCGAGTACTGTCCAATTCCATGACTTCAGTCTTGGACAGTTATAATAATTAGGTTTTTGACTTGGAAATTTTTTTTTGTTACATTAATTTGGTAAGTTGCCCCTTACTGTTTGGTAGTTTAGTTTAGTTTTTTGAGATCCCTTGTTGCAGTAGATGCTGGCACTTAAAAGATCCATCTCTGCTCAAAGGCCGTAAGTGCCGAATACAGGTCTAAATTTGCAGCCCTCCACCGGCAAGTGGTGGCTTTTTTTTTTTGGAAGTTGCCCCCTCCACCTTTTAAACTGTTACTACGAGCCTGTTCCAGCCCTTTGCTACTACTTTATGTGTATTTGTTTTAATGTATTTAATATAAGTGAAAAACAATATGACATATTCGAAGGAAAATTACTTAAAATACCCCATGCCTAATCTATTCGAATTGTTCGCAAGTACTTATCATGTTTACACTATGTACATCGTTTGGGTTTTGATGTACGATTGTATATCAAAATATTACAATCGTTCACACGTTAATGTTTTTCTAATGTAATTTGTACCTATATAGATTTTTTTTTAATTGAGCATACAAAAATAGTTATTTAATTTTAATGCTTTGACCTTGAAAATACAGGTGGGCTTGCGGAATATATCTGTTTGAAAGAATGTGAAGAGAGAAAACATGCACGCGCGCTCATGCTTTCAGTGCTTTACTTCTGTATTTAGGTTTAAGTTTGACAATAATTTGATCCGCCACATGTAATTGTAGTCTTTAAACCAAATAAAATACGATCTGCGCATGCTTAGTACTTAGCGGAGAGGTCTTAGGCCCAGTCTTACGCCGCTTTCTGAAACGCGATTTAGGCCCGTCTAAATGTTGGCGTAACTTACTTAGTCGGACTAACTTAGGCCCAAATCTACGACTTTTTGAGAAACGAGCCCCTGGACATACAGTATAACATTGAAATCGAAATGATAATTTACGTAGTCCATGTAAAAATATGCATATACAACATTTCCATTATCACACGCATTCTTATTAAAGGTTTGCAAAAGCTTAATTAGTTTTTAATCAATTTCTTGTAATCCATATTACAGGCAAAACAATGTAGTATTTTTTATAAATTTCTGAAATATTTTCATTTAATATATTTCCAGTCGGAATCAGATTTATTTAGATCGAGAAAGGAACAAATTTCAACATCACCATCTTTTTCTTTCAAATCTAGTAAATCCGTTTCAATTTCTATTAAGAATATGATCATATAATATTTCTTTAATAGATGCAGAATATTTCTTGAAGATTTTTCTAGATTTAAAGATATTAACAAGTCATGATTTACATATTCATAGATATTTTTTTAGATAAGACCATATTTTTCTGTTCTATAAATTTTATATTTAATAAAAGCAATATGAGCTGCATTATTGAGAATTTTATTTTGCTGTTAAAAAGTGTTATTATGATAAATTTGTAAGTAATTCAACCCTTTATTACCAGTAAGACTACAATAAAGTACTTAATTGTTTAAGAAGAAAGACTTCTGTACAGACAAATATATAGTATTTTGTAAGAGATCAATATTGTACAGGATGACAATAATGTAATTTTGCTTCAATCAAAGCTT